GCCAGCTCCTGCCCCACTCCCCACAGCGCCCCCTGCTGGGAGAGGCCGGAGCTGGAGTATCCGGGAGCTCCCCCCACAGCCAGCTCCTGCCCCGCTCCCCACAGCGCCCCCTGCTGGGAGAGGCCGGAGCTGGAGTATCCGGGAGCTCCCCCCACAGCCAGCTCCCCTGCCCCGCTCCCCACAGCGCCCCCTGCTGGGAGAGGCCGGAGCTGGAGTATCCGGGAGCTCCCCCCACAGCCAGCTCCTGCCCCACTCCCCACAGCGCCCCCTGCTGGGAGAGGCCGGGGCTGGAGTATCCGGGAGCTCCCCCCACAGCCAGCTCCTGCCCCACTCCCCACAGCGCCCCCTGCTGGGCGAGGCCAGGGCGGGAGTATCCGGGAGCTCCCCCCACAGCCAGCTCCTGCCCCACTCCCCACAGCGCCCCCTGCTGGGAGAGGCCGGAGCTGGAGTATCCGGGAGCTCCCCCCACAGCCAGCTCCTGCCCTGCTCCCCACAGCGCCCCCTGCTGGGAGAGGCCGGAGCTGGAGCTCCCCCCACATCATGCAGAGGGGATGGCATTAGGGGTGGGGCTTCCACAGCAGTGGAGACAGTGGCACGGGGGGCGGGGCTTGCACGCCCATGTGAGGAGGAGGCGGGGGGGGGGGGAGAGAGTCACACCTTCATGCGGTCGATGTTCACCTCCAGCTTGAGCTGCTCCACCGTCTTGCGGGCCTCGGCGATCTTGGCCATGTTGTTGGACATGGTTCCCCAGCCAGGCGCTTGCCCTGCAGGGAGGCGGCGGGGAGGGGCGAGTGGAGCGGGGGGAGAAAGGGGAAGGTGGGGGGGGGCAGAGAGAGCAGATGTAACTCATCGCGGGCTGCTGTCACCATCGGGCCACGACTCCCCGAGCCCCAGGGCCGCGCCTGCCCCTCGCACGCTCCCAGCTCCCTCGTCTGTAGGGGGCGCCAGCTCTGATCCAGCCCCAGGGCGGTGGGGACTGGCTGGCTCAGGCGGGCGGGCAATGGGATGCGGGGCCCTTCCCCTCCAGGTGCTGGCTCCAGGACGGCTCCTGGTCAGTAGTGACAGAATCATCCGCGCGGAGTGGCTCCTATGTGAGGCATTGATGGGGATCTAGGGTGGCCAGACCGCAAGTGTGAAAAATCGGGACACGGGGTGGGGGGTAATAGGCGCCTATGGAAGCAAAAGCTCCAATATCGGGACTGTCCCTATAAAATAGGGACATCTGGTCACCCTATGGGGATCTCAGTTACAGAGCCCCCCCACGCGAGCGGAATGGGGGGAAGATACACGCTCTCCAGCGGCATAGAGCTCGTCTTCCCGTCTGGGGAAGGAAGCAGAGTACATGTATGTGTCTGTGTGTATGTTTGCGTGTGCCTATGAGCTCCCCCTGCCCCCCCACCCCGACCCTGAGCTCTCTGCTCCAGCCACGGAGCTAAACCTTAAAGGCAGCTCAGTGGAGCCGCTGGGCCAGGAGCGGGGGCTGCAGATGAAGGGGGCTGGAGGTTGGCTGTGCTGGGGACCGCGGGGAGCCCACCGCCTCAGACTTGATCCAAGGAAGGGAAATTAGCCACACTCCGGGAAGAGGGGGAGCCGTAGCTGGGGGGCCTGGTTAATTAGGGCCGCTCAGCGGCTTCCCCCTCCCCTCCAGCCCTGCCCGCAGAGGCCCCTGATCAGCGATGCTCAAAGCAGCCGGCTAATTGCCCAGCCAGGCGCAGGGAAATGTCACCTGTTCCAAGGCTGGCACAGGGAAGGCCAGCACTTACGTGGCACAGCAGGGGGCACTGCATGGCTAGGAGCCCGGGGCAGGGCCTTTAAAGGGACGGTGCCTGCAGCCTTTACCCAACCCACCCGGAGCTGTGCGGGGACCGGGGGTGGAGGGTGGCCTGAAACACTGCGAATCTTGGCGGCGCTAGGTTCTGATCCGGTCTGTAAAATCCCATGAAGATGGTTCCGGCGGGGAAGGTCCCACCGATCAGGACTAGGAATATTGGGGTGACAGAGTCTCCGTCAGGAACGGGGGCCCACCAGAACCCCTCGGGCAGAGGCAATTATTAAAATACTAGGGAAGGGGGTGACTGGGAGGTTAGTGAAACGCAGAGAAGTTTTTCTAAGGGGGTCGGTTAGAGTTTGGGGGTGATGCTTCAAGTCAAATCCGCCTGCTTTGTGCTGTTGTAAAGGCCCCCCATCCCCACCCCGACCCAGTTCTTCGGCACAGAAAACGCCAGGGGAGATGTCTGGGCATCTCATTTGCACGGCGCTATGAGCCTGCAGGGTGTATGCCGTTTGTAAGCGAGGAAGGCTACCTGCACTTGAAACAGCAGAGCTAAAGGTACATGTGTTGCTGGCGTGCGCTGGCACGCTGACGTGCATCCACGTGCAAGGTAGTGCCAGGGCATGTGTTAGTGCACGAATGCCTGCACGCATGTCTGAATGGATATGTGTGCCCGGGCGCAGGTTCTTACGAACATTTGTGCCTGTGGGGATGCGGGCATGGGAGTGCATGAGTGTGCAGATGAGAGTGCAAGGACTTGCACACGTATGTATGTGTGCAACGGCATGTGAGGAAAAGGGCTTATGGGCATGCGCCTGCGAGGACAAGACCATGGGGCGGGGATGTGTGTGCACATGAGAGTGCAAAGACTTGCACATGTGTGCATGGATGTGCACGAGTGTGCATGTGCATGCAGGGGGTGGGTTGCACACGGTGAGCGTGCACGGGTGGGCCCGTGCAGACACGTTCCCCTGCTGAGGAGATGTCCCAGGCGGCCTGAAGTCCCAGCTGCATTCCTCTCACTGCCCCAGGCCCTCCCTAGCGTCGCAGCTGCTGCTGGGGGAGATGCTGGTCCCTGATCTCTGCTCTCAGCAGGTAAATAACAGAGGGGCTGGGCCTCGGCTGCTTTGTTTTTCAGTTCCAGATCTGTCCCCCGCCGCAGGGACCTGGAATCTGACCCCTATCCGTTGCTGGAGGCACAAACGCCCTCCCTCTTCCAGATCTGCACATCCAGCAGGACTCATGCCCTCTCTGGGAGGGCCACAGAGCTCTTGCCCGGGAAGCCAAGCCAATGCATGGCACAGCTGGCTCTGCGCTGCCACTGGCCTGTATGTGGTGGGAGGGCAGAGATGGGGCAGGAAAGAGGGGGCACGGGGGGTTATTACAAATCAAATCTCCCACGTGCCCTTGGACCACTCCGTTCCAGCATGGTGAGTTGAGGCCCCAGAGCCGGGTGGAACGCGTGTCCCCCCTGCCTCAGGAGAGTCCGGGGTTGGGTCTGGTTCTGGTGCTGACCCGAATGGATCGGAAGCTGCTGAGCCTGCAAAACCCATCCGGGAATCTCACTCAGTTTTAGGGCCTGCAGTATGGATCCGGACCTGCACAGAACTCACCTTCACCAGGGACTTGGGTTATTCGGCGGCAGCTCTTGGAAACAAAGGTGAGCTGGGGATAAAGAGTTTTCAGAACTTCTGGGGATAGATCGATCAATCTATCCCCGTACACCCCTCTATCTGTCTATCCCCATACACCCCCTCTATCTATCCATCCATCTATCTAATCTATCCCCATACACCCTCTCTATCTATCTATCCCCTTACACCCCCTCTATCTATCCCTATACACCTCATCTATCTATCCCCATATACCCCCTATATCTATCCATCCATCTATCTAATCTATCCCCATACACCCCTTCTATCTATCTATCCCCATACACCCCATCTATCTATCTATCTATCTATCTATCTATCTATCTATCTATCTATCTATCTATCCCCATACACCCTCTCTATCTATCTATCTATCTATCTATCTATCTATCTATCTATCTATCTATCTATCCCCATACACCCCCTCTATCTATCTATCTATCTATCTATCCCCATACACCCCCTCTATGTATCTATCCATCCCCATACACCCCCTCTATCTATCTATCTATCTATCTATCCATCTATCTATCCCCATACCCCCCCTATCTATCTATCTATCTATCTATCTATCTATCTATCTATCCATCCATCTATCTATCCCCATACCCCCCCATCTATCTATCTATCTATCTATCTATCTATCTATCTATCTATCTATCTTCTTACATCAGTGCCATCTCTGTTGTATCTGGGCAAGATTGCTCAGTTCTAAGAATGGCAGAGATTTGGGCACGGAGGTTCATACGTTATTCTCAGGCTGGCCCCTGTCACTGGGGGAGTGCAGGAGAAGGAGTAAGCGTCAGCAGCGGGAGAGAAGGGTGGTGTAGAGATTAGGTGAGGGACCTGGGTGTCAGGACTCCTGGGTTCTAGCCCCAGCTCTGGGAGCAGAATGGAGTCTAGGGAGCCAGAGCTGGGGGGCCTGGGAGGCAGAGCACCTGGTTCTAGTCCTGACTCACTGGGGGTCCCTGGGCAAACCCCTTCCTCTCTTTGTCCCTGAGCCCCCTTCCCTGAAACAGGGCTAAGAAGCCTGACGTGCATGCTGGGAGTTAGTCTTGCTTGGCAAAGGCTCTGAGACCCTTGGAGCGGAGGACGGAGAAGGACCAGATGCCCCCTTAGCCGTGATTGCACCCCAGCCTGGCATCTGCCCCCCGAGGGCAGGGAGACCGGCCCCCGCTGGCACTGCATGGAGCAGTCTGGGGCGTGGGGGAGATTTAGCTGCTCCCTGGCCGACGGGGATCGTGGCTGTCGGATGCTCCGGGAGCAGCTGGGGATCCATGCCAGCTGGGTCCCAGGAGTTCCTAGGGGAGCGGGGTTCACTCCAGCTAACAGGGAGCCTTCGACCGCTCGGCACTAGCTGCCCAGAGGGGAAATCAGCACTCCCCATGTCAGAGCCCCAGCCCAGGGGGGTTTAGGAGGGGGTGGGTCACTTTGGAGGGGACTTGGGGTGCAGGGGGGTGCTGAGCCAGCTCCTACCTGTTGCCAAAGTGTCCGGGTCTCTCGCTCTCTCTGGATGGAGTGAGCAGCGTCGGCTCCCCTGGCACAGCAGCCTCTGGTGTGGAGCGTCTCCGAGTGTCACCTCCCCCTGCCCCCCGGGGGGCGCCGGCTCAGCAGGGTGGCTCGCAGCAGCTGGCAGAGTGGGGGAAGGCAGGGCCAGCACCAGAGCCCCGTGCTCACAGACGGACGCACAGACGTGAGCACGCTCATGGCTGGACAGACGGGCAGACCCGGCGGGACGGACACATAGACCCAAGGGCAAACCCCCTCCCCCAACCCCTTGCTAGACACAGACACGTGGGCTCAGACCGACAGCCATGGGGCACACACACGGACAGCCAGATGGACCGGCGCACATGGAAGGGTGGATGGACACACATATACACTCACACTCAGGTGGACGCAGACACCCCCCCCCCTCCATGGTTGGACTGACACACACTGGTGCAACTGGACAGCCAGGCACGGAAGCCTTTGTGCACACACACACCATGTGCACAAACACACGCCGGCCCCATGCTCACACACGCTCCGTTCGCAGGGCCTGTTCTCTGCCCCTTGTGCCATCATGTGGCCCAGTGCCAAGGGATGCCATGTGCCCCCATGGAAGTGCCCTTCCCCCCCGCCTTCCCCACTGACCCACAGAGAATGTGGCCCCAGGATTCTGGGGGTGCTCTTCTCTCTATCACTGCGGATTGGCCTGTGCCCGGCTCCCCACTGGCGCAATCCCAGCCCCAGAGCAAAGGGGTCCCTGGAGGAAATGGCTGATGGGCTGCAGCCCAAGCTGGCTGTGTGTACATGGGTGGCTAATGGGCTGCCCG